GCTGTAGTTATTATGAATGAAAAATACTGATTTTTTGCCATTTTCTTAGTGGAGCAGTTATAAGTATGCTTGGTAAAATTTATCCTTTATTTTATGTACTATTGAAAGGTGCCCTGATTTCTAAGTAAAATTTAAAATGTTCATTTTATAATAGTTCATTAAAGTAAACAATATTCAGTACATGTTTGGGAGATTATAATGACCTTTTAGTAATGTTATCTATTCTTAAATTAATGTGGTGTTGAGGTCTTAAATATGTAGGCATTGGGTTGTTTCAAATGTGTCTAATTTTCTCTTTCATTAAACAAGAAAGTAGTAATTATTTACAATGAACTTTTTATTTTTTTCCAGAAGCTCTAAATTATTCCTTTTATGTTCAGTTTTAAATATTCATCATTGGTTTGGCAAGATTGAAATGCATATTGACAATTGAAATAGTATAATCTGACATTTTTTTGTTGTTGTTGTCAACATTTTGGTATATTTTTCCTCTTTTTTTTTTTTTAATTTCAGCATATTATGGGGGTACAAACATTAAGGTTACGTACATTACCCTTGCCTCCCCTCCCCCTCGAGTCAGAGCCCCAAGTGTGTCCATCCCCCAGACGCACATGGCACTCAGCATATATGACATTTTAATGTTATATTTAGGCTGTTTTATTTTGTAAATGTGACTGTCTGTCAATACATAGAAGTCATGATTAGTATGAAGATCAGCATTAAATTCATAGAATTGCTAAGCAGGGGAAACAAATGTGAGAACAGGAAGTTAAGCCCTTTCCAATGGATTAATAGCTTGGTTCAATAAATCATGGTGAACCAAGGCAATAACCATGTGTCCTAGACAATGGAGGATGTAAAAATTCACTGAAAGCCAGGTCACCACATTATATCTCTCCCTTTCCTTCCCCTTTTCTGTTTCTCATATTCATACCTGCTCAATATCAATGCGCTCCAGCCAAAGACCACTAGGAACACATCTGTAGTTGAGCAAGTTTGGTTTAATGATCACTGCAACAGGGGAAACTGTATATTATACGGAACCATGGGGCATCTCATAGTAAAAGGATATTATGAAAGACTTATAAGATTTGTGCAATGGTTAGGTAAATTGTGGAAATGTTCCAGGAAACAGGGATTTGCCATGATATTAGTAACAGTAAGAAATGGCAAGTTATTGCCTTATTACTAACATTTGTAAATAAATGAAAGCATATAAATTCAAGAGCAATAGTTAACAAGCATCATTCTCAAACATTTACTAAGATTAAATGATCAATATTAAAATCTGTTTGTTAAATAGTTTACATCTTAGCTCTTTACCTAGTGTGACAGTAAAGAATGTAACCATGTAAATGAGTATTGGTTGACCTGACTCAATTTTGAGTCAGTGTTGACTAACTCAGTATGGACTGAGGCCTTAAAGGTCAAGAACCTAAGAATATAAGATGATTACTTTAAAGCACAGAGGGAAGAGAACTTTTTTTTCCCTCTTTTGGAGAAATTGTAGTTATTGGTCTTGAATTTGGTGACTTTGTTGAATGTTTTTGAATTTATTATGTATATTCTACAATTTCTTTTTCCTTTGATTGATAGACATTTTTATTGTTTCTATGTTGTGGCTATTATGAATAAATCCTTGAAGAACATTTATATACAAGTCTCTTGTGGACATTTGTTTCCATTTCTCTGAGGTATATACCTAGGAGTGCAATTGCTAAGTCGTATAATAAGTGTGTTTTTAATAGTTTATTGAGATATAATTCGAAAACCACTAAATTCACCCATTTAAAGTACACTATTTGAGAATTTTCTATATATTGATAGAATTGTGCAAACATCATGACAATCTAATTTTAAGACATTTTCATAATACCCTAAAGGATATGGAGTATACTTATTAGCAGTCACTTCTCACTCCCCCAGGTCCAGGAAAAGGTTGCCAGGGGTGGAGAACCTGCTGCCTTAAGGTCACATGTGGCCTTCTAGGTCCTTAAATGTGGCCTTTTGACTAAATCCAAATTTTGCAGAACATATCCTTTTGTTCAAATGGGTGCAGCAGAGAAGGATGAAGCTTTTCTGGCTTCCTTTGGTGCTCAAAAAAGAATAATCTTGAAATCAGAAAACTGCAGGTTCAATCTATTTTGTGTCGCTAGATTTCACTATTCTGGAAATTTCATGCAAATTGAACCATACAATATCCTTGTGACTGGCTTTTTGTACTTAGCATATTTTCAATGTTCATCCATGTTGTAGCATGTATCAGTACTCAATTATTTTTTATTACCAAGTAATATTCCATTGCATGGCTGTCACATTTTATTTGCCCATTAATCGTTAGTTCATGGATATTTGGGTTGTTTCTACTTTTTGACTATTATAAGTAATGCTACTGTGAACATTCATGTAAAATTTTTTCAAACATATGTTTTCACTCTATTTGAGAATTTTACATGCTAATTGAAGGACTGGGTTACCTGATAACTGAATGATTAATATTTCGAGAAACTTCCAAATTGTTTTCCAAAGTGGCTCTATCATATTACATTTTTACCATCAGTGTATGAGGGTTCTAATTTCTACACACCCTCACCAATACTTATGATTATATGTCTTTTTGACTATAGTCATTAAGTGGTATGAAGTCGTATCTCATTAGGATGTGACTTGTTTTTCCTTAGTGACTAATGATGTTTGAACATTTAGTATTTTAGGCTTGTAATATTTTTTCTTTAACAGTTTTATTTTCATTGTACTTTAATATGTGCTAATATAAGACTCTCTTCCCTCTCTCCAGTACTGAGTTTTTCTAAAATTGGCTGCTTTGTTCGCCTGCAGGGTTTACAGGGTTGACATTGTTGTAATAGAAATTTGGAAAATATATTAATAATACAGACAAAAAGTTACAGAAAACAGATTATAAAGAACAATATTTATAAAAGTGTAGGAATATTCACAATTGCATTGAACACAATAAGGAACTCGGGAAAAGGAAAGTATATAACAGACTTTAGTATGATGAATGTGACATTTCAAAATCCATAATAAATATTAGTTTATTCAGTAAATAGTGCTAGGTCAATTAGCTGACAACTTTGAATTCAGGTAAAGTTATCTCTTGACTACATACCACATACAAAAATGAATTCTAAATGCAGGAAAAACTAATAAGTATAAAAACCAATACTACAAATAACTTGGATAAAAATGAGTGAATCTTTATGTGAATTTTGTATAATATATTCTAAACAATTCTAACAGGGTTAGAAGCCACTAAAAATACCATTTGTTTAACAAATATCTATTAAGCACAATTTTATATGCTCAGCACTGTTCTGGGGATTAGAGATGTAGCAGTGAACAAAAGATCTAAAAACCCTTTTATCATGTCTGCTTAAATGGGAATTATTATCGCTTAATACATCTTCACAAGTTGACTAAATAAAATTTCATTATGTTTATGGTTGGAACCCATAGTTGCTTATTGTACTAAAAAATTAAAAATTAAATCATAATATAAGTATATACATACACACATATGCATATATAATTTAACATTTTTAAAATATAGAACAAGTACATAAGTAAACATACATCCATTTACCAACTGTTTTATCAATGTTTCCATGCCTGACTCCAGTGACTTCCAATTCAGTTCTCTTCTGTTCCTAATCCCATCATCAGGACAAACCATTACCCTTTCTAATGGTCAGAGAAGTAATGGTATTTGTGCTATCCTTGTAAATGGGATGTTAAGGAATGAGACAGATAGCCAACCATAATATTCCATAATGCTCAAAGTTGTTGTGTAGATAATTTATTTTTGAAGAATTATCTTTAAAATCCAAAGGTAAGAAGCAACAGCTGCTCCAAATGGGAAGGAATCAGTGAAAGAACTTAGCAAGTATGAAGAATCAAACTGAAAGGACACTCCCAAAGGGGAACACTAGCTCTCTAGCAATGGATATCAACCAAATTCAGAAACCTAAAATGACAGAAATAATGGAAATAATGTTCATTGTGTGCTGGTCAGGTGGGAGGGGGTTGCGGAGGTGGCTAAGCTCACAACTATTGGATGTGGTGGTGCACACTGTATGGGGGAAGCGCAAGCTTATAGCCCTGCCTTGGGCGAGACAAAGGCATTATATGTAACCAAATGTTTGTACCCCCATAATAATCTGGGAAAAAAACCTTTGGATCATTTTAAAAAATGGGAATGAAGTGATTTGAAAGCATTTATTAAAATCACCAATATTTCTCCCTGTTTTTGGACAGGAAATTATCTCAAACCATGAAGAATCTAGGACCTTTTTAGAACTTTTTAAAAAAGGAAATGTCTTGTTCAACATAGCAATAATTTGCACTGTTTAAATCGCCCTCTTCTCAGTATAGTCTAGTATTTCAGATATTGAGTTAATATCCAGGTATTTTCACTTTTTGTTCCAATCTCAGCATAGTAATCTTGTCTATAATTGAGAATTCCTTTTATTACTCCTCCATCTTGTATTGTCTTTTACAGGTCACTTTTTGTTTTTTTAAGCCATAAATCTCCAACCCCTTCCACATATTTACCCTCCACGTGGAGTAATTTCTGCAACAAATAGGGAAACTGGTGTGCATACTCTAGAGTTAACAAGTAATCCCATGCCTTTTGAGCCTCCTTACCCATGTTGATGATCAGTGAACAAACATTTGAACCTCAAGGTACTCAACAGAATGAATAATTTTGAAATATTGGATTTCTCTTCCATGACTACATTGCAGTGTATTTTACATTGATATAGAAATAAAGGAGAAAGCTTGGCGTTCCTTATAAAGCCTGACAGATAACTTTCATAGTATTAAGCTTCTGGAGTTTAAATTTTATTTTTATTTTCAAAATAATATGCATTTTGGTTTCCCAGCAAAGGTATAATTTTCTCTGGCTATTGCTCAAATTTCCATAACTTTTAGCAAAGTAAAATTATTGTTATATTTACTCTCCCTCTTTTTTGAAACAGATATTATGCCCGTTGAGAGATGGATAGTAAATTTCGACAAAGACCTTGTAGATGGGCTTGTTTTAGCAACACAATTGGGAGCCTATTGCCCATTTTTGGTAAGAGTGATTTTTAAGCACCATGGTCTTCTATTATTTGAAAGAACTTAATTATTAAAATTGGAAGTATAGTTCCTGTAAACTGATTCTTTTAAATGTCTGAATATGAATAGCTAGCATTTCCTTTTTGTTTATTCTTGCATTTTGATTGTAATAGTCTATTACTAATATATGTTAATATTTAAATCATTCTTTGCCAAACTACAAAGAACACTTAAAAAGCAGCAATTTTTATTTCATTACCAAAAGGTTTGGTTGTTGTCTTTTCCAGATTGAGTCCCATTTTATAAATATGTATACAAGACCAAAATGTCCTGAACAGTTTCTGCACAATAGCCTCATTGTCGTAAATGCTTTTCATGAAATTGGCTTTGACATGAACATACAGGTGGGTACTTATATCACACATTCTGTAAATATTTTTATAAGTTTCTTCTGTTAGTTTACTTCTTTTTAATATTGCTTTTTTCATAATTTTTAATATGAATTGAAACAGACTTTTCATCGGTTATTGCTCAAATGTGGAAATTGAAATATGACTCCACAGAAATCTACTAGATATTTTTTAAATGTATATAAATATTTACATTAAGTTGTCCATACTAAAAAAGTACTTCTAGTCCAGGTATCTGAAACCATAAGAATAAAGTTTGAGTGTATTATTATCATTACCCAAGCTCTAAGAATGAACTAAAGGAGCAGAGTTATTCAAATATAGATATTGTAATATCATCTTCTAATTTAGTAGCAAAAAAAAATACAAATTTTAACTTTGGTTTTAAAATAAATCTTTGTGTAGAGATCACAATGGCAATGTACATTTTACTTGTATGTTGACCTCCAACGTATAATTCCATTCAACCATTCACATCAAGTCCTTAATATCAATAATCAAAAATATATTGTATGCTTATGATTTTATGAGCTCTTTGTTACTTTGTGGTAATGATATGATACATTAAATGATTCCTGGCTTTTAAGAATATATAAATTGATTGAATTATCAAGATATTTGACTGTTAAAAGATAAATAATGTTCTCATTTAAGTGTCAATAGTGATATATGCAAAAAATAAAATGTGGAATTCAAATGAAGAAAGAGATCAATGTGATGCGGACTGATTCACCAAAGACAAAGACATTGTGGAAGAGATAGAAGTTAGTTGGAGTCTTGAAAGGTGGATTCGATTTGGATTGGCAGTGGTGAAAGAGGAAGTTGTTTGCTCAGAGGAATTGGTACAAATAGAATGTAGAGTGTGAAAAAGTGACATACATCAAGGAAATTGTGTGAATAGGTTTCACCAGTTGAAGTTTGTTATTAGAAATGTATACATAGGCATGTTTTGGAATATTGAATATCAGCATAAAAGGCCAGGAATTTATCAGATGAGCATTATAGGAATAAAGGCCTTTATTCTTGCAACAAGTCAGGATGGACTGAGAGGAAGGGAACTAAAGAAAGGAGATTCAGACCAATCAGAATGAAATTTCAGCTGATCTAGGAGGACAACAGTTACTTTCTCTACTCATCATTTTAATGGGAACTAAAAACAATAAGCTTATATAGGAGAATTCATGCGGTTTGCTAGACCTGATTGCCAGCTACAAAGGAAGAGCACAGGAAAAGAACCAACAACTTTGAGTTTTCCATTCTTTGATCCAGAAAGATGGATGATGCTTGTGCCCAAATACAGCTTGGTATAAAGTGATATTTTATACCTGCTGGAAAAATGAGTTTCATAATTGCTTACTTTTTTTCTTTCATGTTAAAGTCACTTTGTTCCCAGCCTGACATTTATATTCTTTTTTATTGCTAGAGTTGTAAAGAGAAACTGCAATCAAAATTTTTGGTCAGAGAGTTCTTTTATAATAGCAGAGTTCTGAGGATAAATTCTAATAGAAGTCTTTGGTTTTATAGAATAAAAATATTATATTTCTCATGAATTCAACAAATTATTTAACCTCCTCCATGAAAGACATTGGATAAACCATACAGGGCTACAGATATGGTTAAACTACACTCATACCTTCAAAGATGTTACAAATTAATAATGGCGAGTCACAAGAACAAAAGGCTGATGCAAGCAGACAGTGAATGCCACAACAAACATAGAACAATGTACTATAAAACTCAAAGGGGCAAGAAGTCACCCTAATAAGAATGCCACGAAAAGTTGCATGGGACACTTGGTGTTGAAGCTGGCCCTTAAGAGCTTAGTAGGGGTTCACAAGAAATTTAAAATATCTTTGTTTAGAAAATTCAATTCATCATAAATTGTGATTCTCTCCTTTGCTTTTTTATTTCCTCATATATGTTGATCCAAGATATTTATTGTATAGTCAAAAATGCTTTGAAAATTATTTACTAGGCAAAAAGGTAGAAAAGTTGTCCAAAATATGATGGATGGAGAAATTGAAGTTAGCAGAAAATTGCCAAACATTTACCAGCCAGTTCCAATGCCCTTTTTATCAGCCCAGATTTACCTACTGCATTAAATGGCAAATTAAAAAAAAATGTTACCCTCAAATTAACTTATCCATAGTGAATAAATGCTGATGCTTTTGTTGGCTCACATTTGGATCCTGTAAAATTCAGCACCGGACTTGTTTTATTAATGGTTAAATTTCTCTTTTATTATGTCCTTAATTGCAACTGGAAAATCAGCTGGATGAGTTTTTATGCCAATGTTATGTCCTTTTAGAGATTCCTGACAGCAGGAATTTACAGTTATTATACATACTTTCTCCTTTTCACCACGTGATTTATATTTAAATAAAAAATATAATGGGAATTGTTTAGCCTCAACATAGAATGCATGTTTTATTCAGGATGGATATAAAAAATAAATATAATACATATTTATGGAGGTTATACTACACATAATTCAATGAGTAGTGATGGGAACTAAGGATGAATAGATAATCTAACTTTGCCCTTAAAACTTTTTGGTTTTGGCACTGTATTAGTCAGGGTTCTCCAGAGAGACAGAACCAATAGGATAAGAAGAGGGGTTTTCTTAGGAGGAATTGGCTCATGTGATCAGAGAGGCAGAGAAGTCCCATAAAAGGCTGTCTGCAAGCTGGAGCACCGGAGAAGCTGGCTTAGTCTGGAAGCCTCAGAACCAGGGAAACTGATTGTGCAGCCCCGAGTCCAAGACCAAAGCTCCAGAGCCCCTGGAAGGCTGCTGGTGCAAGTCCTAGAGTCTAAAATCAGAAGAACCTAAAGTCTGATGTCCACGGTCAGAAGAAGAAAAGGCATCCCACACCAGAAGAAAGAGAGAAAGAGCAGAGAGAGATTCCCGCTTCTTTGGCCTGTTTGACCCAGCCAGGCTCCCACCAGATTGGATGATGCCTGCCTAAACTGAGCCGTGTCTTGCTCGCCCATTCCACTGGCTCATATGACCCTCACAGACACACCCAGAAACAATGCTTCACCAGCCATTTAAGCATTCCTCAATCCAGTCAAGGTGACACCTAAAATTAACCCTCACAGTCACATAGGATATTTTTATCTTTAAATAACAGAACTCATGAGTAAAAGTGGTTTAAAAATAAGAAAATTCAATATTTTATGTAAGATAAAGTCAGGCAATGGAAGATTATAAGGATAGTTATTCAGTTTTTCAACAAAGTTATCACAGATTCATTTTTGCTCAGACATTCTCAGCCTGCTATAATCATTTTAGGCATATATGCTAATAAATCCCAAACTTATGCTCAAATTCTCACATAACACTTTCATACAGCTATGTCTGAGGCTGGCTGAGTGGCACCTCTTCTTGTGCTTCTTTTTTTCCAGAAGATAAAACTTTTCTAATGACTCCAGTGCATATTTTCCATTGCATATCATTGACCAGAATTGTATCCCTTGTGGCTAAACTAGTCCTTGGTAAAAGGAATAGAACACCCACAAAATAAGAGATTCTTAGTAAAGACGAAAGGAGAAAATGGCTGTTAGGAAGGCTATCAACAGTGATCTTTGAGGGATTACAATATGTTAGTGGGTACTGCTAGTTATAGTGGATGTCTGGTTTGAAATCTGGTGATATCTTGAAGTCATGGCATATTGAATCCACACAGAGCTTAGGATCATATTACCCCTTCTAGTTACTGATGATGAAACTGAGGCCCAGGAAATCCAACTGATTTAGTTAAGAGCACAGCACTGTGGAATAGTGGGGCTTGAATTTAATTTACCAGATTTCTACTCTAGCGTTATTTTCTGTTATGATTATTTTTTTTTGTTTCCTTCCCTGTCTTTTGTTAATCCAGTAGGAAAACACTATCTTCAGGAGGGCAAATAGGACCAATAAAATTGAAGTTCTTTTTTATTAGATCTGTAGAGACAAAGTAATGATTATGTCTTTGAAAGGAATTTCACATGAAAATTTTGTTTTAAAGAAACTTAATTTACTTTGACATTTGGCTTTCTAAGCCTAGGATTGACTAAAGTGAATTTGCTTTAGGTTTTTATTTAAATGAATCATAAGGAAAGGTGAGGGTGTTTTTTTATTTGGTTTTTTGATGTCATGCCTTATTAAATATATTATTACATTAAGGTAAATATATTTTTAATTTACTGAATTACTGAATTTTCCTATTATATATTTTGCAAAGGTGAATTTTTAAAATAATTTTTGCGTTGGTATTTATATCATTTTATATGCTAGATACTAAAACAGGGTTCAAAGACATTGACCCCAGACTTCAGCCCAATGTGTTCTGCCACTGGTGCTCCCCTTTCCCCAGCAAGTACACCTTGCCTCACCCTAGATCGTACTCCTCTGATCACACCATAGGCTGATCCATCACACAGGGCCCAACAGAGCCGTATTCTGCACTGTGAAATTAACATTCTTAGGCCTCAAAAACGAATGCAACAATTAAACTCTGTACTTTATTTTTGATTTTCTTCTTTCCTTAAATCATTTTCCTATATCTGTTGATTATAATATTGCCTTTATTGAAGACTGAGACCACAAAATACTGATGACAAACTTTGGGGTCTGGTATATGTTTGCAAGTTTCTCTCAAATCACACTCACAGGCTGCTTTCCACCCTGCTAAGGTAGGCCAATTTTCTGACTCTGAACTATTGATCACTTCCCCAGGCACCTTCAGTGGTAAGGCTTACTGCTAACTGAAAAAACAAGAAGGAACAAGCACTTTGCTCTTTCAAGGAAGAATAAGAGTGTATGAGGAAATGTGGACTAGCAGCGGACCAGAGGGGCTGTCATTATTCTCTATAAACTGCTGCCAAATTTCAAAATCAAGTGCATTAGTTGCACACAACACATTAGGTCTCCTCAGCTCTCACACAATTTTCATTTCCAGGCTAGGCCCAGATCATTTTCAATTGCTAACTCGAGTTTGTGCCATTAAGGCATAGCAGATCTTCATTTCCGTTTCATGGAAGTGCAGAGAACTCTCTACATATTGACAATGACAGAGTTCTTTCTTTATTAGTGATGTTTTGTTTGCCTTTTAATCCCTGCCTCACACCAATCCTAGAATTTTTCTGCTGTGAATAATTTTGCCCCACTATCTCCACCTTTTTCTAAGAGATCACAGACACTACATAAACTAATAGAAAGAATCCTTCCTTGTGCTCTTGACTCTACTTTTTGGCTTCAAATTAATTAGACTACTAAGTTACCTTGTTTCTTAGTACAATTATATCTTTGGTCTTATTATTTGTCTGTTCTGGGAAACGTATTATACTTCCCCAACCACCTCCTTCCTGATCTGCCTGAATTGTTACATTTATGTTATTCCTTGTTCAGAAACCAAGTCTCTCATCCTGACATCTAAGAATTCCATGACATAGTCCAGCATTCCTCATTTTTTTCTCCTACTACTTGTCCCCTCTTTTCTCATGCATTATCCAAACTGTACTTCTTTCCTGTGCAAACACTATATTTCTCTATATACTTGCAGTACTTCGCCTTTCTGATAGAATACACTCTTTTCCTCACACCGACCACACCATATTAAAAGTCCAAGCATTCATTAAGGCCCATTTAATGTACCACTAACTCCTCTGGGCTTTTGCTTTAAAATCTCTTGCCTTCTTTTACTTCAGGAGTTTGTCTATTTGTCATTTTCCTTGTATTGTATTAAATTAAAGGATGGTGTCTTTGTCACATTTGTCATTATTCCCAGTGTATAGTGTTCTGGGCTCTGACTAAGTTTTATGGAGTCTTTGAGGCTGTAAGCTCACTATTCTACTTAGAACACATTTAATTTGTCTTTTAACACATAGGTCAAACACTTCTAATTCAGAGCAATATTCTGTTTGCTGTCACTACATTTCAGTGTCATTATCAATCAGAGATATTTTACAATGTTTGAAATTAATGAGTTCAGTGGTTTGCTGAATATAATAATATAAAACTTAATTACTTTTTAATATACTGACAATACATAGAAAATGAAATAAAAATATCACCTATGATAGAGTAAAAAAATTGTTATACTATGCATTTCCTCTTTTTATAAATTTTATCTGGATATGCTCTGTGGCAGTTAATATAATATTAGGTATTAACTTGATTGGATTGAGGGATGTCAGATAGCTGGTGAAGAATTGGTTTTGGGTGTGTCTGTGAGGGTGTTTCCAGAGAAGATGGTTGCATGAATCAGTGGACTAAGAGAGAAAGACCTGCTTTCACTGTGTGCAGACACAATTCAGTCTTCTGTGGGCATGGCTAGAACAAAGCAGGCAGAAGGGGGACATTCAGCATGCTTGATTTTTGTCTTTGCCCTGCTCTTTCTCTCCCTTCAGGAGCAAGGTGCCTTTTTTTCTTCTCCTACCTGTGAACATCAGACTCCAGGTTCCTCAGCCTTTGGACTCTGGGACTTGAACCAGTAGTCTCCTGTGGGCTCTCAGGATTTTGGCCTCATACTATGAGCTGTACTGTTAGCTTCTCTGGTTTTGAAACTTTTGGACTTGGACTGAGCCACCACTACCATCTTCCCCAGAGGCCACTATTGGCGTCTCTCATTTTCCAGTTTGCAGATAGCCTATTGGGGCCTTTGTCTTTGTTATTCTGCAACCAAATCTCCCTAAGAAATTCCCATTCATATATATATCCTATTGGTTCTGTCCCTCTGGAAAACTCTAATAAATCCCCTGATTTCCATTTCTCTTCTTTGAAACTAGGCCATTGACATCTGTGACGCAAATCCAATCCTAATGCTGATGCTTTGTGTCTACATGTATGAAAGACTCCCTACATACCTCCCCAGAAAGGTGGTGCGCTTTCATTGTACTCTACATGACACTGTGCAGAGACAGGTAAGGTTATTTTTGGGACCAAAATGCATATGGAGTTAAACACTTAAGAAAGGTTTTAGACATTTGTTTCTCAACTGCAGATTATCAGCAAGTTAATTTTATTAAAATTTTATTAATTTTAATAATAACCATATTAATTGAAGTTTTATTAAAATTTTATAAGTTTTATTACATGAATAAGCCTTTTCAAATGTTTCTCCTAAGCCAAAGGTCTCAATGAGTGAAAGGGGCAGGGGCAATTTTTGCTTAACAATAGTCACCTGTTCCAATGAAACCATGACTCCTTTCTCATGTCCATTTTATACAAAATATTATTATTCTGTATTCACCAATTTGGTAAGATTCATGTTTGATCCTTTTTCTCTGGCTTTTTAATGTATCCCTCTTCATATTTAATTGGGGAGGTGAATAATTGTTTTTATTTTTGTGGAAAACTTATCCATATTTGTTCTTTAAAAGGTATGTCTGATTTTTGATTTGTCTGATGTTTGATTTGTAATTGGAACTTCCTTGAAAAAATAATTGTGTGGCCTCCATGATGGTGTGAGCAATGGTTAGTAAGGATTTAGTTAAAAATTAGGAAAAACTCAGGTTCTTGCCTCAAAGTGTAAAGGGCTCAAATTAGGGAAAGGAAAGCCTCCCCTTCTAATTTTTTATTAGTAAATATTAAGATACAATCTCTTTTATTTAATTTCATTTCTTTCCTTTTTGTCAGAAAAATAAATATAAAATTCTGGAGTTTTCAACAGTATTTACTGTGATAATTTTCTAATTGCAGTGAAATATAAGGGCTTTGGGTACTGACTAGCCTTCAGCTATAATTATATTGGAGAGGACTTTTGACTTCAAAATAAAATTTCATAAGAATTAAAAATGTTTTGCTTGAGCCTGCAGAAGACAGGATTCTAAATTTAATTAAGCAGTAATTTATTATAGTTAATTATTATTGCTCATTCTCTAATTCCACATATTTGTATTTCTTTATGCAATTTAATTCTTAACATTTTTAAAATAGTTAATGTTAACACTAACTAATGTTTAAATAAAAATTTTAATTATGACATTATAAACCAAATTAAAACATATTTAAATGAAAACATAATTTCTTTCCTCATTTTTTCTCTTTACTAGAAATAATGTTCACACCTTTAGATTACAAATCAGATTATGCAGGTGTGCCTTTTATTTTTCACAAATGTAAAATAAGTTTGTGAAGGAAAAAATAAAAATTAACTATAAAAGCAATATAAAATAAATTATAGCAAGCTCTGATTTTAAATTTCATTTAAGAAAATCAGTGATTTAGAAATTGCTGTGTGAATTTTTGACACAGTCTTCTCCTATCAATCAATGCCATAAATGACGGTGCCTAAGTCATAGAATATTATTTTTATCAACCCTATCAACCCTCCAGAATATAGAATAATCTCAAGAAGTGACTATTAGAATTAAAAAACTATTTCTATAGCCATGAGTCAGTACTAGAAGCATATAATGCTGGAACCAGTAAAAAAAAAAAAAAAAACATAATGATCAGTGAAAACACATGGATTGCAGTGATATTTTGAGTCATTTAAAAGCAAATGAACTTTTTTTAAAAATTTTTTTGCTTTTTGAAACAAAATTTACATAGAAGCACAATAGTTAAAGAATGGCTGTCATGATGCCAGGACACTCTAGCCTGGCCAACAGAGTGAGACTCTGTCTCAAAAAAAGAACGGCTATCATTACAAAAAAAGGAATGGAGATTCTAAGTCTTTTTTCCCTTCCCTTGAATAGCTGTTTCTATCCTGTCTACCCCTCACCAACCCTGCATTCAGCCAAATCCTAGAGTTGGGTACAATTGTCTGACCACAGATAAGCCCAAGCTTTTGTGCCATATATGTGAGCAGTCCCCAAACTTTTTGGCACCAGGAACCGGTTTCAGGGAAGACAGTCTTTCCACAAACCTGGGGCAGGAAGGTTGGGGGAAGGGGTAGATGATTTGGAGAAGATTCAAACGCATTACACTTATTGTGCAGTTTTACAGTAAGTAGGGATCAAGCTCTCTTGCCTCTCACCTCCAGCTGTGCAGCCGGGTCCCTAACAGGCTATGGACTGGTACCAGTACATAGCCTGGGGGTTGGGGACTACAGATATATATGACATAATGAGAATAAGTGGTTTCCTTATGAACTAAACAGTTCAAATGTATCTATTATAATTTTTAGTATTTCCTTCCAAAACAATGGAATGAGCTCTCTGGGACTTAAAAGTCACTTAGTCTATTAACAAATACTTGAAATACACACATACGTGCATATATAGGTACATACATAAAAAATTCCACACTAGAGTGGTCTTCTCCCCATTATAGCTGAGAACATGAGACCCTCAAATCCTTGGAGGAACCAAAAGTGGAAACTCTTCAGCAATGATACACTTGTTCTAGTACTGTGTTTCCCCAAAAATACGACCTACCCATAAAATAAGCCCTAGCAGGATTTCTAAGCATTTGCATAATATAAGCCCTACCCCAAAAATAAGACCTAGTGATGGGCGTGACTACAGCGTATCTGCACAACCCATGCATTTCGTAGCAGAGCGGTAAAGAAGATGAGCAGCCCTTCTCAAATGTCCCATCATGACAGCTACTATCCTAGAGGAGACTGGAAAGGTGCGGGCAGCCCCACCAACAAGGTCAGCTCCCCCTGTCAGGTCCCGGCCATCCTGTGCATGCTGCAAGCTGAGACTTTGAGGGGAAAATAACACATCCCCTGAAAATGAGCCCTAGGGTGTTTTCTTGAGGAAAAATAAATATAAGACCCTGTCTTATTTTCGGGGAAACATGGTAGTTATCAAAGTTTCCATTTAACTAAGGAAGTAGTTAATTAAATCAATTACCAAATCTCCATCATATTTGTTATGATTCAGTGTATCTATGCATTCTGCTGCTTTTTTTCTCCTCAAATATCTGTGACTATAGTTCCTGAACTTCTTAATTAGCAGTCACCTTTTCTTCGCTCTAATTTTGACAATTTTCCCTTTCCCCAAGTCTTCTTCCTCTGGATCAGTACTTTCCATGATACCTTTGCATCTTGTTAAAGAAAAATTTATTCAGGACTAGCATGATAGGTATAGAGACTACTGCAATGCAGTTTTTCAGTAGAAGAGAGAGATTTAGCTCAACTCAAAATATTATACAAGGAAAATTGGAATTTATAGCCAAGGAGCAGAACGGGTGTTACTGGATGGGAAATGTCTAAGCAGAAACATATGGATGAGCAGGAATTCTGGCTAAACAAATATAACAGGATTCTTGCTGAAGCCAGACCAGGGTGATCACATGTCACTTGGAGCATGGTTCCAGATGAGGAATTTGGTCCACACCTACAATCCTAGAACTCTGGGAAGCTAAGGCAGGAAGATCACTTGAGGTCAGGAGATCGAGATGGAGACCAGCTTGAGCAAGAGCAAGACCCATCTCTACTAAAAGTAGAAATAAGTAGCTGGGTGTGGTAGCACTTCGATATAGTTCCCGCTACTCTGGGAGACAGGAGGATTGCTTGAGTCCAGGAGTTTGAGGTTGCAGTGAGCTATGATGACACCACTGTACTCTAGCTGGTGTGACAGAGTGAGACCCTGTCTCAAAAAAAAAAAAAAAAAAAAAACCAAATAAAAAAAAAAAAAAAAAAACGATAATAATTCTTACACACAGGCAGCACTTTCAGTTAATAAAGTACTTTCACCAAGTTGTTTCATTTACTCCTCACTCCTACGCTGTAGTCAGTCAGCCAAGCCAGATGTCATTATCTCTATTTTTTACAGTGTTTCCCCCAAAATAAGACAGGGTCTTATATTTATTTTTCCTCAAGAAGATACTCTAGGACTTATTTTCAGGGGATGTGTTATTTTTGTTAAGTAC